GACAGTATAGACGAGACGGAGGATGTCTCTCTCTTCGATGCCGATGAAGAAAACACGAGGAGACCGAAAAAAAAAATAAAGTAAGTGTGCTACAAGATACAATGGAAGATATATTGCAGGTTACCAGTCCTTACATGGGGTGGCACACAGCCTACTTCCTGTGAGCCCGGGGTGTCATGGACCCGCCCCTTGTGTGTCATCACACCGCCCTTGGCTCCTAGTGCTTGCTGCACAGCTCAGTTGTTACTACATTCTGTGCAGCAGGAATGACTGCACTGCCCTCTGCTGGAAGGAAGAGGAGCCCAATCACTGCGTGACCAGAGAGAAGACATTGGAGGAAAAATCTGATCTCTAAGCTAAGATTGCTTTTAAATTCTCCCTCCGGCTCCTCCCCTTGGGTCTTGCACAGGTGTACCGGCTCCTCCCCTTGGGTCTTGCACAGGTGTACCGGCTCCTCCCCTTGGGTCTTGCACAGGTGTACCGGCTCCTCCCCTTGGGTCTTGCACAGGTGTACCGGCTCCTCCCCTTGGGTCTTGCACAGGTGTACCGGCTCCTCCCCTTGGGTCTTGCACAGGTGTACCGGCTCCTCCCCTTGGGTCTTGCACAGGTGTACCGGCTCCTCCCCTTGGGTCTTGCACAGGTGTACCGGCTCCTCCCCTTGGGTCTTGCACAGGTGTACCGGCTCCTCCCCTTGGGTCTTGCACAGGTGTACCGGCTCCTCCCCTTGGGTCTTGCACAGTTGAAACGGCTTCCTCTGATTTCACTGCACACTGTGAGCTTCTCCCCATGTGCATTAGAAGCTGCAGCAAGTCAGAGCTCCGCCTCATTTCCTGGCTGGAGGACGCCCAGCATCATCTAGCTTTTGCATAATAGAGAATCGCAGAGACCCAATAATGACGTCACTGGATCTGCATTATGGCATGTAATGAAAACAGGATTTGCTTATAAATATTGATTGTGGGGGGGAGGAACCAGGAAAGGGAAAACATCAGAATAAACGTCAGCTTTAAAAAATAGCTGAAGGGGGGGGGGGCGGCTCGAACTAGAGTTGAGTTTTAGCGCACACTGGCGTTTTTTGAAGCTCCTGGAAGCTGTTATCAGCATTTTTTTTTTTTTTTCTGCTCCTAGAAGCTAAATTGTGTTCTCCTGTATCCATGCACACTACTTTAGGCTGTTAGCATTTTTTGAGCTTCAGCGTCTAGGAGGAGAAAAATTGTTTTTTGTGGAGTTTTTATTTATTTATTTTTTTTGGAGCATTTTTCCTTCAGAAAAAAATGCGCAATGCTACTAACAGCTTTTTTTTTTTTTTTTTTTTTTTTTTTTTTTTCTAGCCTCTTTCTACGTGTACTGTAAAACCACTACTTAAAAAATCGCTATTACCAGCCTTTAATTTTTTTTCCCCTCCAGCGTTTATTGGGTGTGTATGGAGCCTGAGTGAGTTTTCTCCTCGTACACAGTTGTCGTGTTTGCTGGATACCAGTTGTTGGTTGGTGAGCTCGTTGCCCATGACATTTTCTGCTTTGCAGGCACCCCCTTGCTTCATTCTTCCACCTGTTCTTCCGAGTGAGCGCCATCCTCGTGTATCTGCTGTGTGAACTGGTGTCCAGTAGCTTCATCGCCTGTATGGTGACCATCATCCTGCTTCTGTCATGTGACTTCTGGGCTGTAAAGGTGAGTGAACGCATCCTGAACCGACCTTCTCTCCCTCGTTCTGTGCTTACATACAATAGGAAAACCGGCGGATAAAGGTCAGCCCTGCAGCCATGTAGGAAAGAGCATCTGGTTCACGTGGCCTCCCTAGCGTTCTGATTATGTCAGTATTTCTGTGCTCAAAGCGGTACCATTATTTTGCATGGAAATATGTATTTTTTTATTGTGTAGGCCTGTAATTCTTGGGAATAACTCGGTGAAATCTGTCCGAACAAGAAACTAGTAAACATCCCGGGTATGATAAAATTTGAAACACGAAATCATAAATTATAATATAATAATCATAAAAAATATAATAATAAATTTAATTCAATAATATAATCAAACCAAAAACACTGAAATGTGAAATATAGCGCCAAGTTCGCACATCGCTGAGCTCAGTCGCAGAATCGTTTTCAGTGTCTGATGAGGAATTTCCCCCACCAATCATTATCACTCAATTCTGCAAGTGGTTCTGATTTACTATCGCTGTTCTCTAGCCGCTCTAAAACCGCTTTTGACCTAAAGGGACGCTTTTTGGACGCCATGGACGTTTCTCAGTTTCCAGGCAGAAAGAACAGTAAAAATGCAGGCAGGGCGCCGGACAAAGCACTCGGGACAACATGTATGTGAAATGGTTTGATACAGGAATGTTATACTATGTGATTTTAGTATATTTTTTGTGAATGTCACTTTTAAAATTTCCCGCCAGTTCCGTCCCCCGTACATCCCGACGTCGCAGGGAACGGAACCCGGAAGACAGATGCCGGCATCGGCCGGAGGACATTACAGGGGACACTGCAGGGGGGACATCGCGGGAGCGCAGGACATGGTAAGTGAAGAAGAGATCCTGGAGCAACGCTGCAGTGTATTCCCGAGTGTAGCTCGGGGGGGTTACCGCTTGTGGTGCTGAAACTTTACCCCGAGCTACACATGGGAATACCGCCAGGGGGGTTAAAGTGCAATTCCAGTCTTCCCTTCAGTCTTGCACAGTTGTAGCGGCTCCTCTCCTGGCCTGAAACGGCTAACTTTGATTTCGCTGCACACTGTGAGCTTCTCTCAGTGTGCATTAGAAGCAGCAGTCAGTCAGAGAGCTCCGCCTCATTTCCTGGCTGGAGGATGTCCAGCAACCTAGCGCTTTCCTATGCAGCCTCACTGGCCCCTCCCCTTTCATTGGATTTCAGTTCTTTCAATCATGGGGGCTCAGAATCACCTGTGGCCATTACCTAGGGTGGTCTGCATACAAATACAACCTGCTTAGGAACTCCCACTTTCTCAAACTGACACCCACCCATCAGGGCATTTTTATATTCACATAAAATGAATGTGACAGCCAGCCCACTGCTTGCATCAGGGCTGAGGGCTCCTAAGAGGAGTACTGTGAAATTTTTTTTTTTTTTCCTTTTTCCAGGGAGCTATGTACGGCACCCTGCAGGCCCCTCCCTCTAATAATGATCTGCATGCATTGCATAGAGAAGCACAGTGACCCAATGGTAACATCACTGGTTCTAAAATAAGATATGCTAAGAAAACAAAAAGATTTATTTAAAAGTCATTCGCATGTCAGTGGTGGTTGGAGGGGGTGGTGAGAAGGAACCAGGCAAGGCAAAATATGCATTAGCTCCCCATTGCCCCTCATGCGACAGCCCTGGATGCCTGAATGGCCAATCGCCAAGTACTGGCGCTGGCACATATGAGAAGTCATATCTATGCTCTGCTTTACACAGAAGTACTAATATATATATATAATTTATGGGCGGCACAGTGGCTTAGTGGTTAGCACTTCTGCCTTGCAGTAAATGGGTCATGGGTTCAATTCCCAACCATGGCACCTCCTGCATGGAGTTTGCATGTTCTCCCTTTGTTCACGTGGGTTTCCTCCAGGTGCTCCGGTTTCCTCCTACACTCCAAAGACATGCTGGTAGGTGAATTGGCTCCTGTCTAAATTGTCCTAGTTTCATCCCTGGCCATGTGGGATCTCCTGCATGGTGGGGGTTGGGGAAAGACCTGGCAACCTACCCTGTAAAAATAATTGCTAAGAGAATTCATGGAAGAAGTGGCTTACGAGTGCCAGTCCATGTAATCACCAAGGGTTGGATCTGACTGAATGTGTGTGTATATGGGTATGTATGTATATAGATAGACCTTTTTTTTAATATGTATTCATTTTTTTTTTTTTTTTTTTTTAGCATTGACTTCTTTCATATGCTCCTTTTAGGCTGGAGTCACACTTGAGCAATTTTTAACTTGAAGCTCCAAAAACTCAAACTTAAAAAAATCAAAAATTAATTGTTCTCTATGGTGGCTGTTCACACTCGTCATTGCCCCAAATAGAAAAAAGGGGGGCAAAACGTGAGACCCGTGGAATGTGTTGTTTTTTTTGTTTTGACATGGTTTTAAGATGTCTTTGTTTAGAATAAAGGAGTCCTTTTATGTGCTATTTATTATTAATATTATTATACAGGATTTTTATTATTATAATACAGGATTTATGGCGCCAACGGTTTGCTCAGCGCTTTACAATATAACGGGAGACAATACAGCAACAATACAGATCAATACAAGAGGGAAAGGAGGGCCCTGATCCTGGGAGCTTACAATCTTTGACCACCAGCTTTATTATTTAACGTATGATTTAATTAAAAACCAATAACTAGTCCATAACTAGTCTTTTTAGTTTGGTTCATAGGTTTTGCAGGATGGGAACCGGGCAATCTTTCAAGACGTTCTTCTCTTCCTTCTCATAGAACATCACAGGAAGACTGATGGTGGGGCTGCGATGGTGGAACCAGGTGGACGATGATGGGAAGAGCCATTGGGTGTACGAGTCCAGGAAGGTAGGGCTGGTTTGTTGACGGCTTATAGCGATGAGAATGGAAAGGTTGTAGGTTATATCTCACTATAGCTAACCCTTGCTGTGTTTCTTTTAAGGCAGGACAGGGAAAGAAGAGCGCCTCCGAGGCCGAGTCCAGGATCTTCTGGCTGGGCCTCATCACTTGCCCTATTATTTGGGTCATCTTTGCGTTCAGTGCCCTCTTCTCATTCAAAGTGAAATGGCTGGTGAGTAAAAGAGAAGCAGTCATCTCCAGATACCACGGCTAGGTGATACAGGCACCCTGCCACCATGCTTCTAAAATGTGATCATTGACACCCTGTAAAGGAGCATGGTAATACTTGTGATTGGAAAGGAACATCTTCACTCTCTGGAGGAGCTCAGCCAGCTTTCTTTACCGGTCCCCCTGAAGCCTCTTCTGTAAGACCCTCTGGCTGGCGGTCACATGCTGACGTCATTAAAGGAGAAGTTCACCTTTTGGGAAAAAATAATAGATGCACATTTTTTGCAGGTAAAAAAATGCATTTATTTTTGTCCAAAGGAGCCCTTGAAAACATTGCACCAGTGATCAGTGGATCATTGATGCCTTGCAGGTCTTCTGCAGACCTGTCAGAATATCTGCTTGCCGTACAGGGTGTATGGGATGGACGGGGGTGTATGGGATGGACGGGGTGTTTTGCTTTGCAGGGATGAGAAACAGAGATCGTTCTTTCTGTACAGAGCCCTGTGTTGATGGTCAACACAGAGCTCTGGGCTGTGATTGGACACAGCCAATCAGTCCACGAATCATTGGCCAGGACTTGCTGACAGGCTCCCGCTGTGTACAATCATAGCAGGAGAAGGCGAGTGCGCCGAAACCCAGAAACAGTCAGTGACGTACGGGCCACTCATCCACCGTACAGGCAGGCGTTCCAGCAAGTGATTAGAAAAATCAATGAAATGTATTGTTTCTCAGTGGATTTTTCATAAACGCCATCTATAGGTAACCAGTGGTATATAAGGACTGACTGTTGATAAAAATAATCGTGTTAAAAAAAGACATGAAAAAGAAATGTGTGAACTGTTCTAGGCAGTGGAATAGTGGAAGACTAGTGGCTGGGAAGGGGAGAGGAACTGGGGGCAGAAAGGTGAGGGAGGAGCTTAGGGACCCAGGCTGGACACGCCTGACACCCAGTCCTGGCTATAAGCAAATTTCAAGGCCTGTCAAATTGGGTCAGGTGTAGTAGGAGCCGTGTTTCTGGATTTGTAGTGAATTCAATCCAACAGAACCAGGTTATGATATTATTAATAGGAGTATGTTTAGTAAAACCTCCTAAATAACCCAAAAATATTACTTGGACATTTGTCAAATGATCTTGTGACCGTGCGTGTCTCCGGATCCACTCATTGCATTTACAATTTATTCACTCTGCCTCTGTTTTTTGTTTTGGGTTTTTTTTTTTTTCTGCTGTGTTAATGCTGTTATTACTGTGATTTAATGGTGAACTACTCGGAATATTGCAGTACCTCTAGTCATGTATTCACTTTCTGTTTTTTACAGGCTGTTGTTGTTATGGGTGTCACACTGCAAGGAGCAAACCTCTATGGCTACATCAAGTGTAAAGTGGGCTCTCCAAAAAACTTGACCAGTATTGCCAGCAACTACCTGGGGGGACAGTTCCTCAAACAAGTGAGTGCAGTGCTGTGGCCTGGCCTGAAGTTTTCCTGCATACATCCTCTCCCACTCTCACACGTGCATGCACATACACACGCACGTACGCATACACACACACTACAAGAATATATGGTTTGTGTGTGTGTTATTTATATATATAAATAACACACACACATACGCCATAACCTTATGACCAGTGAGCATGAATAACATTGATTATCTAATATTACAATGCCCTCTTAAAGTGGGTGAGATATATTGGGCAGCAGGTGAATATGTTGCCCTGAAGTTGACGTGTTGAAAACAGAAATAATTGTAAAGGTGTAAGGATTTGAGGGACTCTGACAAGGACCAAATGGCAATGGGTAGACAACTGGGTCAGAGCAAGTCTAAAACTGAGCGGATAGAGTGACTATGGGGTTCGGGGAGAGCGGATATAGTGAATGCAGGGTCCGGGGAGAGCGGATATAGTGAATGCAGGGTCCGGGGAGAGCGGATATAGGGAATGCGGGGTCCGGGGAGAGCGGATATAGGGAATGCGGGGTCGGGGGAGAGCGGATATAGGGAATGCGGGGTCGGGGGAGAGCGGATATAGGGAATGCGGGGTCGGGGGAGAGCGGATATAGGGAATGCGGGGTCGGGGGAGAGCGGATATAGGGAATGCGGGTCGGGGGAGAGCGGATATAGGGAATGCGGGGTCGGGGGAGAGCGGATATAGGGAATGCGGGGTCCGGGGAGAGCGGATATAGGGAATGCGGGGTCCGGGGAGAGCGGATATAGTGAATGCGGGGTCCGGGAGAGCGGATATAGGGAATGCGGGGTCCGGGGAGAGCGGATATAGGGAATGCGGGGTCGGGGGAGAGCGGATATAGGGAATGCGGGGTCGGGGGAGAGCGGATATAGGGAATGCGGGGTCGGGGGAGAGCGGATATAGGGAATGCGGGGTCGGGGGAGAGCGGATATAGGGAATGCGGGGTCCGGGGAGAGCGGATATAGTGAATGCGGGGTCCGGGGAGAGCGGATATAGTGAATGCGGGGTCCGGGGTTTAGGAACACTTTTTTTAAGATCTTTATTTAGAAATATTGTTCTGTTTTTCAGACGTTTTTCAAGGAACACCCAAGCGGAATCTTAGCCCTCACTTGGAAAATACGCTAAAAATTCTATTTTTACTGCAGAAGGGGACTTTTTTTTTTTTTTTATCACCGCTTAGTTGAATCTTTTTCATGGAAACTCGCCCTTTATCGGCATAATTTTGGATGTAAAATAGACTCGTTCACAATCTCTGCTCCGCCACACACTGAGGATCGGCGCCTCTTCCCTGGCAGATCGAAACATCGAAGATTTGACATCACCAGTTTGACAAGATGACAGTTCGGGTTTTTTTTTTTTTATTCTAAACTTGCATATTTCCGCCATAACAAATAGAAACCGTTTGCAATAATTTGGTTTGTGGGTAAGAAATGTAAATATCTATTTATAGAGGAGTTCTGAATTACAATGATGTGTTTATGGAAGAAAAAAAAAAATTAAAATGTTCTTTACAAACGTTTGAGCTTCAGCATCTGATGATAGAACCTAACCTGATTGGATGACTCTAAAATGTTTTTAAGAAGGCCAGAAGGGCCGATTCACCTAACATTTTGGCCTTTTTTTTTTTTTAAGTACTTGCAAACTAGGCCTTTTCTGGTGCCTACATGTAACAATCTGTGTGTGTATAATTTTTTCTTTTTTTTTTTCTTAACCACTTCCAGTCCGGACAGTTAAACCCCCCCCCCCCCCCCTTCCAGTCCGGACGCTTTTCCCCCCCCCCCCCCCTTCCAGTCCGGACGCTTTCCCCCCCCCCCCTTCCAGTCCGGACGCTTTCCCCCCCCCCCCCTTCCAGTCCGGAACGCTTTCCCCCCCCCCCCTTCCAGTCCGGACGCTTTCCCCCCCCCCCCCCTTCCAGTCCGGACGCTTTCCCCCCCCCCCCTTCCAGTCCGGACGCTTCCCCCCCCCCCCCCCCCCCCCCCCTTCCAGTCCGGACGCTTTCCCCCCCCCCCCCCCCCCCCCCTTCCAGTCCGGACGCTTTCCAACCCCCCCCCCCCCCCCCCTTCCAGTCCGGACGCTTTCCCCCCCCCCCTTCCAGTCCGGACGCTTTACCCCCCCCCCCCCCCCCTTCCAGTCCGGACGCTCCCCCCCCCCCCCCCTTCCAGTCCGGACGCTTCCCCCCCCCCCCCCCCCCTTCCAGTCCGGACGCTTCCCCCCCCCCCCCCCCTTCCAGTCCGGACGCTTCCCCCCCCCCCCCCCCCCTTCCAGTCCGGACGCTCCCACCCCCCCCCCCCCCCCCCCCCCTTCCAGTCCGGACGCTCCCCTCCCCCCCCCCCCCCCTTCCAGTCCGGACGCTTTCCCCCCCCCCCCTCCAGTCCGGACGCTTCCCCCCCCCCCCTCCAGTCCGGACGCTTTCCCCCCCCCCCCCCCCCCCTTCCAGTCCGGACGCTTTCCCCCCCCCCCCTTCCAGTCCGGACGCTTTTTCCCCCCCCCCCCCCTTCCAGTCCGGACGCTTTCCCCCCCCCCCCCCCCCCCTTCCAGTCCGGACGCTTTCCCCCCCCCCCCCCTTCCAGTCCGGACGCTTTCCCCCCCCCCCTTCCAGTCCGGACGCTTTCCCCCCCCCCCCCCAGTCCAGTCCGGACGCTTCCCCCCCCCCCCCCCCCCCTTCCAGTCCGGACGCTTCCCCCCCCCCCCCTTCCAGTCCGGACGCTCCCCCCCCCCCCCCCCCTTCCAGTCCGGACGCTTTCCCCCCCCCCCCCCTTCCAGTCCGGACGCTTTCCCCCCCCCCCCCCCTCCAGTCCGGACGCTTTTCCCCCCCCCCCCCTTCCAGTCCGGACGCTTTCCCCCCCCCCCCCCCTTCCAGTCCGGACGCTTTTCCCCCCCCCCCCCCCCTTCCAGTCCGGACGCTTTCCCCCCCCCCCCCCTTCCAGTCCGGACGCTTTCCCCCCCCCCCCCCTTCCAGTCCGGACGCTTTCCCCCCCCCCCCTTCCAGTCCGGACGCTTTCCCCCCCCCCCCCCTTCCAGTCCGGACGCTTTCCCCCCCCCCTTCCAGTCCGGACGCTTTCCCCCCCCCCCTTCCAGTCGGACGCTTTTCCCCCCCCCCCTTCCAGTCCGGACGCTTTCCCCCCCCCCCCTTCCAGTCCGGACGCTTTCCCCCCCCCCCTTCCAGTCCGGACGCTTTCCCCCCCCCCCCCTTCCAGTCCGGACGCTTTTCCCCCCCCCCTTCCAGTCCGGACGCTTCCCCCCCCCCCCCCCTTCCAGTCCAGGCCAAAGTTCAGCTTTCAGCACTATCACACTTTGAATGACAATTGCGCGGTCATGCAACACTGTACCCATTTTTGAATTTTTTAGCATTTTTTTGAGACCGATAAAGCTTTATTTTGGTGGTATTTATTCACCACTGGGATTTTTTTTTTTTGCTATGTAAATGAAAATGTCCAAAAATTTTGAAAAAAAGTGTTTTTTCTTATACAATTTTTTGCAAATTAATCATATTTCATCATAAATCTTGACCAAAATTTATTCCATTATCTTTAGTAAAAAAACAAAACAAATTAGTTTATACCCAAAAATTATAATTTTTAAACTTTTTTTTCCTACATTTTTTTTTTTTAATTTTTTTATATTATTAGAAATGACATCTTGCTTACTACTCTGCATGTGATCACTGATTGGCCAATCAGTGATCACATGATCGGGACCTCGCACAGAGGTCCCGTACGACGATCGGTGTTCTATTGTGTCCGGGGCACCGGATCGCGGTGCTTCGCGCTCCCAGGGAGCGCGCACAAGCAGGGGGCGAGGAGGCCGTTTATAAACGTCCACCAGCCCCTGCACTTCCACCATCTGGCCGTTTATATACAACGGCTGGACAGGAGGTGGTTAAATTAAGTTGTGTTTTTTTTTTTTTTTCCCCAGAGGCCCTAGAGAATAAATTGGTGGGTGTTGCAATTTTTTATGTCATACATGTATTTGCTCAGCGGTTTTTCACAAGCGATTTTTCAGAACAAAACACTTTTTTGAATTTTAATCCGAAAAAAAAAAAACACAATACATAACTCGATCTTTAGGTAACATCTAAAAGATGATGGATGTTACGCCGAATAAATAGATGGCAAACATGTCTCACTTTAAAATTGAGCATGCCCGTGCGAAGGCGACAAATGCCATAGATTTTACTATCCACAGGCGACACTTTAAAAGCCTTTTACTGGTTACCACCCAAGATTTACAGAAGTGGTCTGGTGCTAGAATTGCTGTCCGTGATCTGAAGTTCGCAGTGATGCCTCATGTGTGGGATGATCGCCGTTTGCATGCGTGTGCAATTGCCTTTTGAGTACGAGCATTGGGGGGGCACTTTTTTAAAATTTTTTTTTTTTTTTTTTGGAATCACGTTTATTGCTTTCACAAGGAATGTAAACATCCCTGTGACAGCAATAGGCATGTGACAGGTACTCTTTATGGAGATATCTGGGGTCTATACGATCACCGTGATCAAATGCTTTTCATTTTTAAAAAATGGCGCCATTTACATCTGGGTAAACCAGAAGCCATGTAAGGTAATCGCTTCCTACTCCCTATAGCAGTGATGGCGAACCTTTTTGAGCCCGAGTGCCCAAAACTGCAACACAAAACCAACTTTTTTATTTCAAAGTGCCAACACTGCAATTAACCACTTGCCTACCGGGCACTTCTACCCCCTTCCTGTCCAGACCAATTTTCAGCTTTCAGTGCTGTTGCACTTGACAATGACAGATGTGCGGTCATGCAACACTCATTTTTTCACACAAATAGAGCTTTTTTTTGGTGGTATTTAATCACCACTGGGCGTTTTATTTTTTGCACTATAAACGAAAAAAGAGCAAAAAATTAAAAACATAAAAGGTTTTCTTTGCTTCTATTATAAAATTTTGCAAACAGGTAATATTTCTTCTTTGATGTGCGTTGGTGAGGCTGTACTAATAGGCAGCACTGATGGGCATTAATGAGGCGGCACAGATAGGTAGCACTGATGAGGCGGCACTGATGATGCACTGATATGCAGCAATGATGGGTACTGATAAGCGGCACTGACTGATAGCACCAACTGGAGGCACTGACAGATGGCACTGATCAGCGGCACTGCTGGGCATCATTG